TCCACAGATTTAACCGTTCCAATTACGTTATCTTTCTCGTTTCGTACCGCTGTATGAGTCATACTTGAGCAACTAGCAACTAAATGACATTCAAGAGTTACTCACCCCACGTTCCACCATTTCTTTGCTTACACTTCCAAAACCGGACATACAATCGCCACCGCTACAAAAATATGGAAATTGCTTTCAGAACACACAGCTATGGATGGAATTCTTCCTCTCTAATGTCAGAAAAAAGAACTGAGAAGTACGATAAGTTCCCTTACTGCATGACGTCTTCACACCTGAATCACAAAACGAGACCGCACCAGTACAGAGCATGTCTGATAATCGTATGCGTAAGATGAAATCGAAGCCAGTCAGTATAAATAGCATCCATTGCAACACACAGAAAATGCGTTACGTAGTTTAAATCGCGAAACAAAGTGATTGCTAATCATTATCATCTGAGCATTCTTTCTACGGATAAAAACAGCCTTGTCGTGCGGTGATCTCCTGCGTGGTGACTGATAATCATCGATTACAAATGATAAATTCAGGTGACGATATCGATCACAAAAATCGTATTTTTCAAGCAAATGAATTTTTTTTTTTTTTTTTTTTTAGCCCAGAAGGGCTATTAATTTCAAAATGGTAATTTGCGTCGATTCATTTTTCAGGCTGTTGCCACCGAATATTATCGCCACGTAATATTATAATTAAATAAACTAAATAACGAAGAATCTACATGAATGTTTCCCGCATTGTGAAGAAACAACGGAACCAAGAGCCATCCAATTTTGACTAACGTAGTCTTCCAACCGAGCGCGGGCACTTGGAACATCGAATTTTGAAAAACTTAAACGAATTTTTGATTAACAAACTCAACGATTTTGAAGCGAGCAATGGCAGCACTGTACAAGGGGGGGGGAAATTATCAGAAATTAGAGTTGCAAAGACACTAACCCTGACAAGCCCTAATAATAAAAAATTGTATAGAATTAAATTCTAAGAACATCACTAACTTCTCACCTCCTTGGGCTGAGCGTCTCTTCTTATTGGTGGCAAAATTTACTCGCCAAAAGTCTCTTATCTTTGTGGTAAATTTGGACTTAGAAAATAACCTCTGTGGTAGTTAATCGGACAACTATCTTGTTGAAAGAGGTACTCATTTAACTTTTCATTGATCTGTGGCATCAACCAGCTTTCCAATATGCAAACAATCCCTACGTGGTTCGAAAGATGGCGTCTGGGAATCGGCTGTGCGTAGGGCCTGGCGCTGAGCTGTCGTATGTCCTCAGACGGGTGTCGTTTCTAACATCAGATAACTCACCAATGGTACTATAGAGGTGCACGCCTACCTTTATGTTAAGTTATTGCCAACCTCTCGAGAGAACTTCCGGTTCGCCGAGTACTTTGAGTGCTCTTTTGCCGCACAGATACTATACGCTTACAAATATTTATGCTATCTCCAAGATTCAAACCCAGGCCCATCGTAAAGGCAGTCACCCTCGCTTACCACTATATCGGCAGAGAGGCTTGTCTTTGAGCTGTGGGAGCACAGAAAAGGTATCGAAGCAAAAGTCCTATTGAGAGTTTGGTGTAAATTTTTTTATTAATTTCGTTTTGGCACTTTGAGCTGAAAACTATAAACGGGGAATCACTTTTCAAATTGCTGCCACCAAATATTATCGCCCTGTGTTCCATTTAAAGAAATTAAATAATAAAGAATCTCCATAAATGTATGTGTGTTTCTCGCATTCTGATAAAACAACGGTACCTAGAGCCATCCAGTTTCGAATAACATAATCCTTCACCGAATATGGGCATCTGCAAGCCCAAATTTGGAATTCGGAATTTGTTTTATTATCTATTTCCTATTTTGTAATACTTTAACGAATTTTTGATTAAGAAACTGAACGATTTTAAAGTGGCGACACTGTACGCGGGGGGGGGAGACTTTTTATCTCCAGCGCGCGAGACTGTGTATCGGATATTCTAAAGATAGGCTCATTTAAAAAATATTTTGCGATATTACTGTTGAACAGAATTTTATGGTTTTAAGTGCAAAGAACATGATATTTAATAAATCAAGGTAACACACAAAACGTTAAAAAAAAAAAAAAGCCCCTTTGAGCGTAATATAATATCTGACATCTTTCAGATATTTTTTTCCTATTTTTATTTATTTATTAATTTTAATTTTATTTATTTAGTAGTTTTCCCATATACACAAACATACACATTTCAAGAGCATTTGGGCTACAAACATTTTAAAACAGCATTTCTTTAGATTTAGCGCGCTGGAGATAAAAATGTTTTATTCTGTACAGTGTTGCCATTGCTCGCTTTGCAATCCTTGAGTTCATTAATCGAAAATTCGCCTAAGTTTTACAAAATATTAAATAAGTAATAAAACAAATTAGGAATTCAAAATTCGGGCTTCCTGGTGCCCATATTCGGGTGGAGGACCACGTTGCCCAAAATTTGATGGCGCTAGGTACCGTTGTTTTTCCACAGTGCGAAAAACATTCATACATTCATGCAGATTCTTCATTATTTAATTTCTTTAAATATAATACAGGGCGATAATATTTGGTGGCAACAATTTCAAAAGTGATTCGACGCAAAATGCCGTTTCGAGATTAACAGCCGTTGTTGGGCTAAAAATTCAACTTTATTAGCTTTTTTAAAAGGTTCCAGATATCTTTGATGTATGAATTTCAGTCTTAAAAAATAACAGCATTCAGCAAAGTTTTTGAAAACCACGATTGGTATTCAAATACGATTTTAAAAAATAAAAAAAGAAAAGAAAGAAAAAGGAGTACAAATAACAAAAATACAGGAAATTGCGCCCCGTTAATGCAGTTTTGTCGGATGTCCGGAATTATGAAGGAAGAGGGGAACTGAAGAGGATGTGGCGTGTCGGCATATGCTCGTTTCGAACACCTGCTACACCCTCTTCTGCCAGCCGCGGCCTCAATGCAAGCTGATGCAGAAGTGTTTACAGATAAAAAGAAGCAATATCAGTTGCATTGCAGGATGATTGTAATATTCCCCGTTAATGTGCAATGCAAAAGAAGTAATTGACTCAGCAAAAGAGAGATTTAATTAATAGCAGATAAAAAAAATCCTGGAATGGAAATATATGACTACACATAAGAGTTTTCTTCTTTATCAAACGAATTTCTTTGTTAAATTGCTTTCCCCCCCTCTTCACATTTAACTGTGGTAATTGTCTTTGCTTTTCAGAATAGCACCTGCGCAAAAATTGTTAACTTGTTGCCAAACCACGCAGCATTAATTATCTCATTTTTCGATCAAATAAAACCACCTTATTGCTTAAAAGAGCTGCAAAATGAGGCATTAAAATTCCTTTACAATTTTTTATATTTTTTATTGTAAGCATCATTATTAATGAATATTTTTTTGTTTGATTGCTTCCATGCAATAATTTCCTTGTTATTTTCACACAAAACGGTTTCTTTTTTTTTTTTTTTTTTTTTTTTTTTTTTTGGCTTAGTTAATTATAAACATTTATATAATTGGTTTCTTTTAGTCTGCATTTAAAATAAAATATAATATTTTAAAAAAAAAAACCTGAAAGCTTTCAGATTTATATTACGCTCCAAGGAGTGTTCTTTACCGTTTTTTGTATTACCTTTATTTACTAAATATCGTGTTCTTCGCACTTACAATAAATTCAATTCAACAGCAATATCGCAAAAGAATTTAAAAAGAGCATATCTTCACAATTTCGGATATAGAGTCTCGCGCAGTGGAGATAAAAATGTTTTTCTTCTGCTTACAGTGTTGCCATTGTTCTCTTTGAAATAATTGAGTTGCTTAATCAAAAATTCGTTAAAGTTTTACAAAATATGAAATAGATAATAAAACAAATTCTAAATTTGGGCTTCCAGATGCTCATAATCGAGTGGAGGACAACGTTATTCAAAATTTCATGTCTCTAGGTACCGTTGTGTTTTCGCAATTCGAGAAATATACATACCTTCATGCAGATTCTTTATTACTTAATTTCTTAAAATATAATGCAGGGCTCTAATATTTGGTGGCAACAGTATGAAAAGTGAAAAGCCTTTTACAGTGAACAAACGCAAAAATGACAAAACGAAATAAATAGCCTTTCTGGGCTAACGTCTTTTGGGCTAATAATAAAGTCGTGTAATACAAACAGCATATCTGTCAATATATTGTTCAAGGTTTTAATTAAAGGATATCAAACTGTGATAGTAGGTATTATTATTTATATGACTTCAGCCAAGATTGTTTCAAGAATGTTCAGTTCTTAGAATTCACCAGAAAAATCACGGTTAATTCGATTTCATTTTCATTTCATAAGCATGCTCAGTTCAAAACATCCTTTCTTCTAAATATTTCCTCAGCTGTAATTTAGAATGATGGAAGTCAGATTAATATTCATCCAAGTTGAAAAAGTTTTATTATGAGCTTAATTTTGTTGAATCATTTTTAAATCGAAAAAGGAAAATTTACCATCTCTACGTTAAGTCTTCCAAGTCGATGAATTTCCGTAACTAGGAACACATTTTGTTGAATTATTTTATAATTACTCACACAGATTTTGTTATTTTGTTTTGACAAATAAATTTTTGTTTTTAATTCAACGTTTAATTTATATGCATGGCTTAAGTAAACAAAAATAGTTACAAAGAGCTAAATATGCTGAAATTTCGTAATTAAAAAATTCTGTAGCGATACAAAATGTACAGGGTGTCCCAGAATCATGGTTTACTAATACCCCATTTAGTTAAAATTATCAACTTTTTATTCATGCATATTATCAAATGCTTAAGCTCTTTCATATTTCAAATGAGCAATGATAATTATACGCCGGGAAAAAGGGGAAAGAAATTATCTCATGGAACATGGATAATAAGAATATTATCCATGTTCCATGAGATAAAATATGAAACATGAATAATAAGAATATTAATTATTATCATAACAAAGCAAGATAATAATAAAAAAAAAATTGCACTCACCGGTGACAAGGGATCTCGTTCGTGTAACCGCAGATGATCACTAGGAAACAGATCCTGAATTCGATCCAAGTCCGATTCTTCCCGCCCATTGCCAGCTCTCTTCACCATCTAAGACATAAAAAAAAAGTATTATTTCTCCAAGGCATTAATTTTTTTTTTTTTTTTTTTTTTTTTTTTGTTTTGTGTGTGTGGTGTGTGTTTAATCTGATGATAGTCATTTTGTAAATTTAAAAGTAAAATGGCTATGACATGAAACTTCTTATATATAAAAGAAGCTTTAATTAAAAAATTACTTTTAAAATGTTAAAGCCAAATTACTCAGAATACCTGATTAATAATTTTAATGCACAGTTTTTTTTTAAACTTCTATTAAAACGCCTTTAAATAATTTATTTACACAAGCAGGTTACTTTTAACATTAACCAAATGGCAAAATTTTATTCAAAATGACATGAATATTTTAGAAACAGATTAAAAATAAATGAAATGTTACTGTTTCGTAAAATAAATAAAAAAATCTGAAAATTTCCAGATTTTTTTTTAATGCTTTGTGTGTTACCTTTATTTATTAAATATCATGTTCTTTGCACTTTAACCATAAAATTCAGTTCAACAGCAATGTCACAAAATAATTTCATAATGAGAATATCTTTACAATTTCCGATACACTGTCCCACGCGCTGGAGATAAAATGTTTTTTTCTGTACAACGTTGCCACGACTGGCTTTGAAATCCTTGAGTTTGTTAATCAGAAATTCATTAAAGTTTCACAAAATATGAAATAGATAATAAAACAAATTCCAAATTTAGGCTTTCAGATGCTCATATTCGCAGCAGGATTACGTCATTCAAAATTTGGATGGCTCTAGGTACCGTTGTTTTACCACAATGCGAGAAACATAAATACATTTATGCAGACACTAGGGCTTTGAGAATAATACATAATCTTCATGAATGATAGTTTTATTAACTGATGACATTTCAAACTTTAAATTACTCAACGCACCATATAGAAATTTAAGCTAATTCCTTGCATAAATTCTTTAACGTTTTTTGGTGGATTTTTTTAAACTCTATTTTTATAAAATTAATAATTTCATAGCAAATCCAAGGAACTAGTGTTTTCTCACATTACATTTCAGAAGGAAAACATCCATTTAACTACAATATTATACTAAATCCATCACAGTTTCCGCGGTGATTTAATTATAGTGCTAAGAATAAAATTAAGATTATAAACTGCATCAAATTTGACGCTGCCATTAGCAAAAAGAGAAATTTATTTTAAAATGCATCAGATAAATGTTCTTTCTCGAGGACTTTGTGTTAAAAATATTATTCAATCTACATTTTATAAAACAGAATCGCCTTATTTCTATCTTTTATCAGCAGAATTCTCTATCTACAATTAATAAAATACAACAGCCACAGTTCTTACCATTCAAGGAAAATCCATCTTGTCATCTTTAACCGAATTTCACAGTTACGAACACTGCTGCTGCCACCAGCAAACAACAAATCGTCTCTTAAAATAAATCATACTAGAATTTTACGAACACTGGTGCTGCCACCAGCAAAAAGCGAAATTTATTTTAAAATACATCAGATAAATGTTCTTTCTCGAGAATTTTATGTTAAAAATATTATTCAATCTACTTTGTAGAACAGAATCGCCTTATTTCTATCTTTTATCAGCAGAATTCTCTATCTACTATTAATAATATACAACAGCCACAGCGAAATTTATTTTAAAATACATCAGATAAATGTTCTTTCTCGAAGACTTTAAGTTAAAAATATTATTCAATCTACATTATAAAACAGAATCGCCTTATTTCTATCTTTTATCAGCATAATTCTCTATCTACTATTAATAAAATACAGCAGCCACAGTTCTTACCATTCGAGGGAATATCCATCTTGTCATCTTTAACTGAATTCCACAGTTATACACACTGCTGCTGCCACCAGCAAACAACGTATCGGCTCTTAAAATAAATCCGATTAGAATTTTACGAACACTGGTGCTGCCACCAGCAAAAAGCGAAATTTATTTTAAAATATATCAGATAAATGTTCTTTCTCGAGGACTTTATGTTAAAAATATTATTCAATCTAATCTACATTATAAAACAGAATCGCCTTATTTCTATCTTTTATCAGAATATTATTAATAGTAGATAGAGAATAAAATTTATTAATAGTAGATAGAGAATAAAATATATTTATATTTATTATCTATCTATTATTAATAAAATACAACAGCCACAGTTCTTACCATTCAAGGAATCTACATCTTGTCATCTTTAACCGAATTCCACAGCTACGAACACTGCTGCTGCCACCAGCAAACGACGAATCGTCTCTTAAAATAAATCCTATTAGAATTTTACGAACACTAGTGCTGCCACCAGCAAAAAGGGAACTGTCTCTTCAAATAAAATCCTATTAGAATTCTTTTTGTATTTGAGAACAAAACTCTACGCGACACGTCATTAAGATTTCAAATAAAGCTCTGAATCAGCTGGAGGAAATGTCGGCTTTTAAAGCAATGTCTTTCTTGTGAATGAAAGACTTACCAATCACTCCGGCTATTATCATGAGTAAACGATTCCGTGCGTATGGTAGTTGCCGCACCACAAAGGTTATAATCGTCTGTCACAGATTATGCAAGTCCAGTCGGTGGTGAGGCAGACAATAAAAAAAAAAGGATATTTTTATTTCTTCTCCAGACAGATATATCGAGAATTTAATCACGGAATATCTGTCACCCGGGATGACGACGACTCGTTGGCTCAATGGTGGAGGCAAACGGTAACCGGTTCAAGATTTTAATCCTTCTCCCACCCAAAACGTGCGTCTTTTGCGTCCTGTTTATCATGTTCCTAAGTTGCAATTAGGCTTCCTATTCGGACATGTAACGACTGCACTAATGATTCTAAAACGGATGATTCGCATTCTAATTACTACTACCTCAGTTTCAAGGTGAAGGTCTCTTTACAAATAGGTCTCTTTACAAATCTTCTAAATTGCTTTGCATTCTATTAACGAAATTAAACTGCAAACAATGCACAGTGCTTTGAAATGATAGCAAACAGACTAGGAAACGTCTAAGAGCAATAAATAAATTATTCTTCAATAATTGTTAAATTGTTAACAATAAATAAATTACTTTTTGGTGCTCTTTCACATTACAGTGTAACTCCGAAGTACAAGATGTCTACAATTAAAGAACCCTATTTCAAAGCAATAAACGAAACCAGAGAATTGCGAAATTTTGTGGCGGTCTCAATGAAGGGATGAGAATGTCTTTCAGCGAAAAAAAAAAGAAAATTAGTTACAAATAGAGCCACCAGAGGGCATTATATGACTGCCGTGCCGAAAAGGCCGGGTTCGAATTCCGGAGAAGGCATGGATATTTGTACATGCGCATTTTCATGCGGCATGGAGGCACCCTAAATATGCGGCGAGCCGGAAGTCCTGTCGAGAGGCTGGTGATTTCGGAACATTTTCTTAGAGCAAGGCGCGTCGTTAAGTGTGATATCCCATAAAGAGACGACCAGGGAAAATCGAAAATCACGTTCTTCGGTGTTTTTAAAGTTGACAGATAAGTCTCATAAGCTTTGCCACATTTCATAAAACTGATCATAGTGAAAAACTATTGCAGCCCATTCAGACATTTCACTGGCTGTTACTTCAACTCGGATCTTGTATTTTAAAATACGAGGGCTATCCAGAAAGTAGATTACGTTTTGGAATAAAAAAATAAACAAAGTATAGGAAACAAATTTTATTATATACAGATGAAAGCCACACTCAAATACTACTTTTCTACATAGTCACCATACAAATTAAGGCATTTATCGTAGCGATGTACGAGCTTGGAAATTCCTTCGTCGAAAAATTCGGCCGCCTGCGCCTTCAACCACTTCGTTACCTCTTCTTGCAGCTGTGCGTCGTCATCAAAACGCTGCATAGCCAGCACTTCTTCATTGCTGGGAATAGGGAATAGGTCACCCATGTTTCGTCACCAGTAACGATGCGATCGAGTAAAGAGTCACCATCCTTATGGTAAGCGTCCAAAAAGTTCAACGCTGCAGCCATTCGCTGATTTTTGTGGTCCTCTGTCAAGATTTTTGGAATCCATCTTGCACAAAACTTGTGGTAACCAAGCTTTTCGCTGATGATTTCGTGCAACAAACTTCGCGAAATTTGTGGAAAACTCAAAGAAAGTTCCGTTATTGTGAAATTTCGATTTTCACGGACTTTAGCATCGACTTTTTCGAGAAGTTCGGCGGTCACTATGCTGGGTCTCCCACTTCGATCTTCGTCGTGAACATTGGTTCGGTCCATTTTGAAATCTTATGACCCACTGACGCACTCCACCTTCAGTGATAATGTTGTCCCCATACACTTCACGAAGCTGCCGATAGATTTCTATCGGTTTACAGTTTTTTGCAGTCAGAAACCTTATTACTGAGCGCAGCTCGCGGGATTTTCAATTAACGCAGACATTTCAAACCGTCACAGTATCTGAACGGAGCACAGCACGAACCTCTCACTAGCACGGCTAGATGCAGACTGAGCTGCGCAACGCTCTGACCCCAAGATGGCCGCGCTAGCCCCGCCCCTAGCGGACACAGACGGAAACGTAATCTACTTCCTGGATGGCCCTCGTATTAGTGTAATGCAGAAAGACTTCTGATCACTTTTTGTACATTATTATTTTAAATAATAGCAACAACTCATAGATTTTTTATTAATATAGCGAGGCATTCAGTTATATTACCCTAATATTTACGTAAATACAAAATCTTTATAACACTTTTATTATAAACAATTAAGGAATTTTTTTACCGCGTCGAATACTACAAGTTGTTTATTTTGAATCGTTGCCAAAACATCACACTGTATATTAAAGTTAAATAATGAGAATCGCAGAATAATTTTTTTAGTGAAAAACCGGTACACTGCTCAAAAAAAAAAAAAAATGGGACAGTGCTATATCTCCCGTTCTACTGGGCCGATTGACAAAATTCAAACTACGTTTTTCATGTCTCGAAAGCGCGACTTAGGATATATATTAGATTTATATATAGCACTATTCT